CTGTCCTTCCTGCTCCATCCTGCCTGGACAGTGGAGGCTGTATCTGAGCCCTCCTGTGAGCACGAGGAAGAGACCACAGACTGAGGGGGCAGAGCAGGGAGAGCTGGTTCCCAAGAGCCAGTGCCACATCAGCCCTGGGTTCTCCTCTCCTCTGGGCCTCCTGGGTGATGAGATGAGCTGTGAGCTAAACTGCAGAGATCTGGGGTTTCTGTTGCTTACAGTTGAATGAAGCAACATCTTGTTAAAGATGAATTTCAAGGAGAAAAAAAATCATATTTTGAGGGGAAAACAGGACAGTTCATTTCATAATAAATCTCAACACAAAATGTATGTCTTGAAAAACTGAAGGTTCAGATCCAAGTGGACGAGGAAGATCTAACTTATGGTCAGTGATCAAGAACACATTAATCCATCCTGTCTGCTTTGCAGCATGTAAAAAAAAAAAAAAACTCTTTAATTAAAAAGACTTTTAAAAAATTGGATTCTGTGAGAGAAAGACACCAGGCCATCAGCAAACAATACCTTCCAAGCTGAAGGTGGTTAAACTCAAGAGTCTAATTCTGTGTAATCCCTTTGCTTGTTTTTAAACAAAAATATGTACTGGTGTTATCCTTACAAACAAAAGAAGACTGAAGATCAGTGATTGGTTCAGTATTTCCTGAGCACCAGCTACATACAAGTCAGCATTTATATGACAGCCATCTGCCCTGGGATGGTTTTCCAACAAATGTAAAAAGTACTTCAACCACTGCAATGTCTTGGAGAGACCAGCAGAGGGCGTAGTGACAGCTTAGATAAAAGGGCAGAAATCAGATAAGGCTTCCAGTGGGGACACCACTGTAAAGAAAGAAGTGTGGTGGGGTCCCAGAGGCAGAGTCCATTCACCTGTCCCACACCACCACAGCCTATGGGGCTCCTTATTCACCAAAGCTTGGCTCCACAGCCCAACATCATGATACATATATGCTTGAGGCTGCCATTGCTATGAAACTGGCATATCAACGTTTCTATCAAGAGACAACAATAAGGACCTGGTAAGATGTCACCAAGGATGCTGTGGCCTGGCTGCACCAGAGATTTCTCTACTAGGGTGCTAAGAGTTATCCTGTTGCTGAAGTAACAGGGAATCTTGCATGGGATTGCCTATCTTTATTTCTCCTACTAACAGCCAACTTCTTATGATTACACTAGTCATATAATCTAATACCTCCAGATTATCACAGCCTACCTCATAAACACCTCAGCCAACTCCCGAAAGCGCCCTTCCACCATGAAACTGTAAACCATTATGCAAACCTGCTGACTATATGGTTGAAGATAACCAAACTCATCATTTCTGTTTATAGTGACAAAACTGTAAAATAGAACAAAAATGTAAAAATAGAACCTAACTGATCCATGGCTGTTCATTGAGTGCTATTATATTGAAATCTCCCTCAAAAGTGAGATATTGGTAACCTGTAGGCACACTATAAGACAAGAGGGCAGAAGCTGTAATACCTCAGATCTACACTGCAAGAGAGGAAGACACATAGACATTATGAAAAAATAAGGGAGAAAAGTGCCCCAAACAAACCAAGACACTTTAACAATAGAATCCATAGACAGTGCAGTAGGTGAAATGTCAGAGGAGGAGTTCAGAATATACATAACTAAAATGATTTGGGAAATAAAGAATGACCTAAGTGAGCAGATACAGGCAAAACTCAATCACTCCAACAAAGAGATAAGCAAACAAATTCAA